TATATAAAATGAAAGGAAAATACCGAATATGTCTTGTATTGTTGATTTTTACGCATGCTGTTTTACAATTTGTCTTCTATATCTTCAGTAATTTTGAGGTCACTCGAAATTATTGTTTCATTTTTAACATAATAATGCACTTTAGAATTCCAATTTACTTAAACGTGCAGAATAACTTTATTTTCTGATCAATTTTTATAACTGATCCAGAAATAATTGCAGGTTCATTTTGTTCTTGGATAAATGGATAACTTTCTTTCTCTCTACTCGGTGTGAGAAGATATGCGCGCCAATGAAAGTTAATCAAAGATAAACTGACAACAATATGAAACAGAGATGAGAGTAATGCGACTTTCACTTGTTATCCGCTTTCCGTGAAGAAATTATAATTGCGTTATTTCAATTCGGACAAAATTTGATGCAATCTTGATCAATATAGGACGAAAAGTCTCGGTTATCAAAAATGACAAACAAAATCAATAGCTAATGGGTTGTTTTGTTTTTTTATTTTCAATATCTATTTATCTGAAAATCTAAAGAGGAGATACCATTTTATTAAAATGATAATTGAATTGAAATAGACGACATGATGTGTTTTCATTACACCACTCGTCTAATTTTAATTTAACAGCAGACAAATCATCCCAAAATAAAATATTATTGCTATTCAAGCCGGGACCAAACAAGAATTGGCTAGATTTAATGTTTCCCTAGGGCAAAATCATACCAGATGAACCAGATATTAATTAGAGCGAAAAAAAATATAAATATACTTGAAACGCTTCTGTATGGTGTTCTATTAATATCATTAAGGGATATTACAATTTGTTATTTTATCATTTTATATTTAGTTTTATGGGAAAATGATCTTCAACTTTTCCAAACAAACCAACATATACCATTTGTAACCTTTCAAAACCATATACCCCTTTCCAGCTGATGATGACAAAAATGCAAGTCTTTGAAGTTTTCTGTCTCTAATGCGACTGAATATTGATAAGCAGACATTGGATTGTCACCCTACAGGTGTAGGTAATCCTCAGAATTCTTGGTAGGGATGTGCCCCCATCCTCCCCGCGGGGGTGCTAAGGCCAGTGGAGAGTGTTGTAAGGTCTATGCCGAACATCCCCGCACTATACCGGTAACACTGTTTTGTAGCCTTGGTAACAGAAAACGGAAAGTTTGACTTCTCGAGGCTTTCAGTTCATATTTTCAAAGTTAGCACGGAAAATTATATTGAACATGGCATGCAGTTGTTGCTGTTAAAAACGATTTGAACGCTTCTCAGAGACGTAAGGGGGGACATTACACAACGAGATTCAACTGATATTTGCATGGCGTTTCAATGTGAAGCGAGAAAGTCAGTTTTAAATTATTTTCATTTGGAGCGAGAAAAAAATTACAAAAACCTGCATTATTTCAAAATAAAAGATAGCAAACGTTGTGTCCTTGTATCACAAACTACATCTTACATGAACTTATTTTCACCATTGTGTTCAAAACTAAAATCTAAATGGCTGTGAAAAAAATGTTTGTGTCAGTTAGTTTAGGGGAAAAATGATGAAATATGTTTGTCTTTGTTTTAACATAACTAATTTACCTTTGTACTCAACTATACGCATTATCTTTGAGTAGTCCTGAAAATCTTCGCAATGAATAGAACTTCCGTAATAACGCTTGGCTTTTAACTTGGAATCAAATATTAGTTCGTATAAAAGCCATTCTTCGTCTTCAATTTTCAAAAGAGATCATGTTACGCGCGTCCTTTACTTTTCCGGCTGTGAATTACAATTGATTTTTTTTAACATCCATCTTTCAAATATACACACTACCTTCGAGTCATATACTTATAAATTAACAAAGATTTCGCGTCGACCGCTACAGGGGCGGCTAGGTTTAGGCGACCTAATTATTTTTAAATGACAAAATATATATCATTTCCAATGATGGTGATATTTGGCAATTTCTCAGTCACGTATTTCGTTTTTTCCATTACTATTACAGAACGACTACTCATTTTTTTGTTTGGCATAACCACAGCAGGGAGCAAACAAAACTTATTTTGTGTTTCTGACAAGCAGTGCATCATAAAAGAGTTGTGAACTGTTGATTTTCAACTGTGATTAAAATTCAGATCCGCCAGGTGAACTGATTCGGACATAATAAACAAATTGTCAATGACGAACAAGGGACCATTCTCCGCGAGATACTCCATGAAAATTAGTTCAAAACCTGATGATTTAAACTAGCCGAAAATGAACGAAATGTAAAACATCGCTACCAACCTTTGTCTTTCATTCTCTCACCTTATATTTCGCGGAAACTACGAGTGATTCCTCACGGATTACCATTATCATTCTCAAGTTTGACGCATTCAACAAAGATTTTAATTCTACTGGTGCGAAAAACCAAAACAGGACGTTACATATACGACTTACGCACCTCATAATAAAACTCTCGAGATATTATTTTCTCCAGTACAGTCCTAAAATTAAAACCATGCTTTACAAATAGATCCATCCGGGCAGTTTCCATCAATTGGTTTTAATCTTTAATAAAAATTTCATCGTTCCTTAAAAATTCTGCGTTTCGGTGCAGTGAGATGAAATCTATTTTGGGTAGATTTGCAAGGTATCAAAGCCTTAAGATTTTAGTTATTGACACTTTTTGAAAGGAAAACTGGCAACAAAACCGACCGGAAAATAAGCGTGATAAAAGATCCTTCCCAAAAACACAAGAGAACCATGATTCGCGAACACCTTTTCTTGATTATCGTTCTTTGGAGGGATTATTTGAACCCCTTTACAGACAGACAGTAATAAGGAAATAAAGAGTGTATGTACTCACCCACCACGTCTAAGGAATATGCAACTGTGCAAAGAAAAGCTCAAAACGAAATGTTTCCCAAACACGACGGCTCTCCTGCAGGGGACATGATGTATTGAAGTTTTTCAATTCACACACGAGCTTGTTTCAATCGCAGGCCGGATGGATGAACACGATAAACAATTTATTGCGCTGGTTTGACGGTGAACGTAATAATTTTTCAATAAGCCCTATAGGATCTGAGCTGCCAGAATTGCTCTGTATACGGATATTAAGCTTCCTATTCACAAAATAACCGCCTTAATGATGTGAGATGGAAGCTTCAGTGTCAAAATCAGTCCAGGACGACAGAAGAAAGTTTTTTCCGTAAATGAAAGCTCAAGTTGAGTGAAGAGTGTCAAGTTTCTTCACATTTATTCCAAGATTATTTAAACCATTGTATTCAAATTCATCTGCCCTCGAATATTAAGGGGTTATCATACTTAACTTAAAAAAAAAAATCAGAGATCGCATTTCCCCGACATGAATGAAAAAAGAAGACATAGTGCTACTTAACATCATTTTTAAGATGTCTACAATTATTTTTGTTTTATCGAAATCAATTGTGAAAATAAATAAAATTCTAAAAAAGGGACAGCCGTCTCTAGTCAGTTATTAAAATGGAAGATTTGCTGTAGCTTCTAATCTGCGGTACTGTTCAATTTCATGAAATATTATAATGACAAAAGAATTCTGAGTACATCACATTGCTCATTCAAACAAAATGCAAATGATGTTCGCTCAACAAAATGAAGTCTTGACTTTCGTCACTGCGAAAAAATGCAATCCACGTTTCTCAAAGATACACTCAGGCTTTAATTCGCGGTTTTAAAAGATAACAAAATTATTTCATTATCAATAAGAAAAACAGATGTAACTTTTGATCCTGTTTTAGAGTATTCCATACCAAATCAGAATTACACAACCATGCCAGAACTTGTCCAGTGTGGTTTCCCACGAGTAAAAATCAGAAGCGTTATACTTCTTTTACGTATCGAAAGATTTTCTTTAACTACCCAGTTGTTTTACACGGAAATAAGTTATTCAACCAGTCAACATAGTCGTGAGAGTTCGAAGAAGTGAAAAAAGAAATAAATGTGGATGAGGGGAAGGGGGAGGGACATGAACCTGTTCCATGCGCTCAGTTAGGGTCTGTCTGCATGGATGTGAGGGACCCCAGGTAGGTAAGGTAACCCTCCTGGCCGTGGTCGAAAAATAGCCCGCGTTTACATACAATCCTACAACCTCAGGATGCCGCGGTGAAGTTAAGGAGTTGACGATGTCATTACGGCGACGTGTGGTAAAACGTTGCCGAAAAGACGTAATTTTTTCTAGAAGATTTTCGCCAATAGCTCGATGCGTTAACCGTTTTAGACGGTACAACGTCTTCATTTCGGTACATGTGAGTGTATAGTTGAGTTCAATGTAAAAACGTGACTCAATCGCTGTCGAGGTTTCAGTGCTAACAGGACGTAAAAATTGGTGTTTTAACGTTTAAGCTTTGCATGGGACGGCTAGAAAATGTACGAAAAATTTAACACACTCGTATTTTGTTATTTTTTTTCTCATTTGATGTTAGTGTAACACGAACGCCTCCCCGGCTGACAGGGTTACCCTACCCATCAGACCGGGCAACCCGCCTAGGTGGGTCACCCCACCTATCACGTTAACATGCTCAGGATAAAATGAGAGATTATATGGGCAGGCGTCCCCCACCTCCATGTAAACAGGTCCTTAATAAAACAAGGTACGATAGTAACCAGCGCGACAGTAAAAAACGCGTTATTTTCTCGACTCGACTCGACTCAACCCTCTCTCGTTTTTCGCCCTTCCGTTACTTTTGCGCCGTTTAGCATCGTGTTCCGTTTTGCTAACTGAATGCCTGGCACAGGTTAGGTTTTAAAAATCGAACACAAAGAAAGATACAACACAAATTTTTGGGTTGTTGCCTCTGGCGCTGAGTATTGTTCTTAATCAGAATGAAACCTTACATTAGTAGTTTTACACAAAAACACCGAAAAGGAAGGTAAACTAAAAAGTTTTAAGGATTGGCCAAGGATGGGCCAAGGATGGGCCAAGGATAGAGAAGAATGACACCGATTGATTATAGTGAACTCCGATTGCTCTAGATGATAAACGGTCACGCATCTCATTTAATCGTCTCCTTCACCATAGTCATCAAAAATATCGTACGCCTCAATATCATCGTCCTGTTCAAGCATTTGCAAGTAGTTTTGAACGCCTTCGTGTCCTGCCCACTCCTCTCCTATGAGTTCTAATTGAGAAGCTGATGCCTCCGTTCCGTCCCCCAGCTGTTCCTGTTTAAGTCTCTCAGCTAGTTCAGTAGTCCGTTGGTAAAGAATGGATCTGATCTGATCACTTGTGCCTGGTAAACACCAACCATCACGCTCGTGACACTCCTCTTCCTAGAGGACAAATAAAAAAAACCCGTCTTTTCACAAACGTTACCACTTAAAAACACGCACGCGGAAGAATACACACATATGCACCTTTTGCAGTAGCCAATTTTAACTAAATAGAAATTAAAAGGAATTTTTGCAGCTGAAGAACCTGGTAAGAACAAAGTAGAATCAGACTAAAACCTTGAAAATTCTTAGTTTGCAAATGATAAAAATGACTAGTGAAGTACACCATATTCAACGAGTGGAGAATTTGTGACGATTCGCTCCTTACAAAGTAACTACCATGAAACAATTAGTATGAGAAAGTGAAACCTGAAAAAATAACTAAGGTGTCAACACGGCTTGTACTTCTACCTTACAGATACCTGTGGGGTGCTATCATCAACAAACACAGTTCTTAGTTTACAGTCCTAAATCTACTTGAAGAACCATGCATTCCTTTCCAAGTTTAATACATGTAAGGAACACATGCCAAATATGTAAATAGAATGCAGAAAAAGACATCACAATGTATATATGTTTTCCATTAATGCATTAGTAGTTATTGTAGTAATTTACCTGGCCATCATTTCTGCTGAGGAGTCTTTGAATCTCTGGGTCATGAAGGTCACATACTTGATAAAACAGCTGTTTCTGTATCGGCATTTTGTTAGGAGTAAAGACATATGGTAAATCTGGTTCTTGATTTTGCTTCTCCTCTGCTTTTTTCTCACTGTCCACCATAACAACTTCTTTAGCCAAAGTTCCCTGCACGCTGTTAGTTCTTCTGACCAAATTTGGAAGAACATATTTGCTTAAACTTCTCTTTGCTTTGATTGGAAGATTTTTAGCCCCTTTCCTGCTACCAACACGGAAGTCAAGCATCTGATAACTGTTAGAGGCAAAAATTTTAGACATGGAAAACAAAATAAAGTTTTAATAACATTTTCAATAAGTCTGCAAACTTACTTATGAAGTTCAACATATTCATATTTCTATCCTCACTGTTAAAACAAACTTTTGTTGAAATTGTTCTTGAGAAATGTTATTTGATGAGATTATCAGGAAGTTAGCAACTACTGGTAGTTCAAAATGACTGAAACTGATATCTGCCATTTGAACCCAGAATATCGTGCAGACCACCATTTTGAATTGCCCTCTTGTGGAAATCTCTCAACACTGGAAATGTTGTGCAATAATGATAAACAAACTCTACTGCCCATCATTGAATGAAAAAAGAAAAACAAGGAAGACGTAGTAAATTTTTATCACATTTTTTGTTCTTATATATATATTCTTTAAGTTTTTTGCTTTTTCGTTTTCACTCTTCTATGACAAATAAAATACTAGTATATTCAAATTTCTGCATGAAAATATCTGAGTGTGCATAATTTACTGCATCACCTAGAGACAATTATTCAGCTGAATTGTTTATGCAAATTTAACTTACATTTTGGCACTGGGGTCTTTCCGTGGATCATATCCAATTCGCGTCCACAAAGTCCTCCATGGTCCATTAAGCCAATAATAAGCTGTGCAGGCCAGCAGTTGTTTTAGTCTTTCTTGTGATGCACTTGTTATGTGGCATTGTAATGCTGAGCGGGACCAAATAGGCCTGTTGGCAAACAGTTTCTTTGTGACATCCACAAGACCATCTTTTGGCCGATTTGCAATTTCTTCTGCTTTAGGATTTGCAGCAGTGGGAACTTCAGGGGTATTAAAATTGATGGCAATTGCATAAACCGGTCTTCTACTTCTTGCTCTTGTTCCAACCAAGCTGGAAACCAGGTAATAACAATTTTAAAGAATGCTAGCTACTTTTAGTAATGATTGACAAGAGCACAAAACAAAATCAAACAAACAAAACGAAATCAAAGACAAGAATATTTACTGGAAACAAGGAGTTTTATAGATCTGTTTTGAATATCTTTACTCCCCAGGCCTCAAAAGTAATTCCCCCCTACTACCTGCCCTTCATTTCCTACAAAACCAGTTCAATGAATTTGTTGTTGTGTAAAATAATACCCCCTTGCTTGATATTTTTCTTAATTCTTGTCACATTATAGTTTTTTGGTAATGTGAGGAGAAGTTGTTTCCTGATCACTTATCAATCTTTGTGGTGAAAGGGTTTCTTAAAGTCAAGTTTATTTGTGTACGTAGGTAAGCCTTTATACAGGCCTAGTGGCCCATGGGCACGGCACTTAACTCCGGTTTCATTAGCATGAAGCAGCTAGGAGTATTGCTACTCCTCTGTGGATGGGATACTAGTCCATTGCAGGGTTACCCCCAGCACATTTGCTGGTACCCATTTGTACACCTGGGTGAAGAGGAGCACTGTGAGAGTAAAGTGTCTTGCCTAAGAACACAACACAATGACCCCGGCCAGGGCTTGAACCCAGACCACCCGATCTGGAGTCAAGCGTACTAACCATGAGACCACCGCGCCTCCATGAAGTTTATTTGTATTTCCCTTGAAATATTTTCAGGTTAAGATCACAAAATTTCTGCCTCTACCTTTCTTCATCCTTTTCATTTCCTTGATCAGTTTTATTGCCTCGTGGTGCAGACTCGGCATTGTAGTTGTAGTTTATTGGATGATCAAACCTTGTAAACACTGGAGGTTGTAAATGATAAGGGACATCTTGATTTAATACAGCTCCATCAGTGACTTGTTTCAAGACATCAGGCAAGTCAGGAACAAGGTATTGAAAATCAGCCATAACTTCAAACCTAAAAATAAACAGGTACCAGATGTAACATAAAAAGAGCTTGTTTCTGTGGAACTTATATACCACTAACTTTCAGCATCAAACCCAAGTATAACATTATACCTATCAATCAATTGTTGAACCTAAGAATTTAAAATGTTACTAATATACTGTGGTTCAAAACCTTTTTTGAGGCTGAGTTAATCTGTAGTCCAAAGAGTACTTAAAGTTGCACATTAAAAGCAGCTAGATTGCCAAGCAGTATTAGCATGTGGTTTTCCTTAAGACTGACCCAAGTCAGCAGGAGTTTCAGGGAGGTGTTGTGTTGTGAGTTGGCAGGTATACATTGCCACATTCAAGCTGAATTTTTAGAACAAAAAACATTCTGGATCTTTCTGTGGCTTTTTGGCAGATTTAAAAACTCACAAGAAGAGACATGAAACACCTTGAGATCTTTTTCCCCTTTAATTTAAGCAAGTCTTGATAAAAATGATTGATATGGCTTATCATATACCACATTTCCAGAAAAAAGATTTTGAGTTTCCAAGAACAAACTGACTCAGATTTCCGTAACCAGTAACCAAATGTCCTTTCTGAGGACTTTTGTGAAACTCAAGTAGCAGCTTTGCATGTCAACAAATGGAAGATTTTGCTGAGAAATAAAATGATCAGTTAAGCAAGTGTTACAAATTAAGGGGATTAAATTTAATGATAATTTTCTGAAGTTTAACATGGAAAAATCCATTTGAAGCCATTTTATCCTGAATTGCTTTATGTTATTCTCTGGTGGGTGCTTTACTGAGATAGCCACCTACTTCAAATCTTATTGAAAGCACTGATAAATATAAGGTATTATAAAATGGTTCATCAGTTTTTACAGTCTGTCATTGGAATTACCATATGGTTATAGGAATAATTAAACTTAAGTATTGTCTTTTGGCACAAAGTTATGATGGCAGGCATCCACCCTTCTCTCTATCTAGGCCAATGGAATTGCCAACAAAGATCACCCTTTACAGGAATGGCTGGGCAGGAAGAAGGGAAAGGAGGGAGTGGAACATGGAACACTAACACACCAAGTCTTACCAAATGAGAAACTAAAGTATCTTAAGGTTGATAAATATTAATACCAAGTACATAGAGTATTTTTGCATAGAAACTAGTGTCTTCATGCCTAATACTAAAAATTCATGATGCAAGAGATAATTTTCACCATACCTAGGAGAAAAACAAGACCCAAGAGCCTATGGGACTACAGGTCTGTTTTAGAATAGTATGGCAGGGTTATACAGAAATCTTTCAGTGTTTCCTTACCCGGTAATTTTAACCTTGGTCAAACGTACATTTACTTACCTACGGTGGAATCCTTGTAATTAAGAATTCAGTAGGGAATTAACTATCTCTTCTTCACAAAACAATAAGTGATTAACAGCACCATATCCAAATTATTTGGTAGTTAAATTCAGCTAAGATTCCGTTTTCCTAACACCGCTTTCCCATATTGGCAAAGTGTATACCATACATTATCAAGTTGATATACACTTACTTGAATGAATTTCCAACTATCCCCAATATCTCCTGTTCATATTTCACTACTTCCGTCTCACCGTTTCCTCGTTGTTGCTTTTTCTTTCGCCGTTTCACTCTCAGTAGTAAGTTTGCAGTAGCATACCGATCACCACACAATGAATGAGCGTAAGGATCTTCAGGACGAAATGACAATTCTAATCGTCGCGTAGGAATTGAGTAAGTCCTTGACACTGTTTCCTCACCTCCTAGGGTTTCAAGCATGTGATTTTCATCTTTTATAAAACCTGGATATTCTATTCCGACGAATTTGACTTGATTTACTGTGATCTGCCCATTGTTTGAGGAAGAAAGATCTCCAGTTGCAGGATTCTTTGAGATTCTTACGCTTTCCGCCATTTTGTTTGTTCTCAAACTCTCAACCGCTGATTATAAATACTGGGGACGTAGATGATTTTTAAAAAATAAATTTTAAGAGGAGGCGGGGGAGGGCTGGGAAAGCAGGGATAGGGAATGTGTTCGTTTTAGTTACATTTGAAAGCTTCAATATGTTTGGAAATTTACTTAAGCAGTACCATATGATTTATAAGACGATTCTATGCAATCAAAAGAAGATCAGTCAATTGCAGTTAACAAATTATTTCACTTCGGTCCAAAACCAACAAACATAGCTTACCCCTCCCCTACCGGTGTTTTATATTACTACCAGTCAGCGGTCTAAATCAACATGGCGGACGAGAAGTGCCTTGAAACATGTGCCTTGAGTTACAAAGTTTTAGCAGAATGCTCCACAACAAAGGCTCGAACTGCTATTCTAACTTTGCCACATTATGAAGTAGAAACTCCAGTATTTATGCCTGTAGGAACTCAGGGAACAATGAAGGGTTTGACCTCTAAACAACTCACAGAGCTGGACTGTCAGATTATTCTTGGGAACACGTACCATCTTGGAATGAGACCGGTAGAGAGAACAAGAGATCAGGAGCATTTTAATTGCATTATTATACGGTTCTAGCTCTTAAAAATCAGTTCATGAGATAAATTTTAACACACAGGGCACAGAGATATTGGAAAAAGCCGGGGGACTACATGGATTTATGAATTGGAAGAGAGCCTTATTAACGGTAAGTTGCCTGCCAAAATATTAATATTGCCTGAGTCGAAACACGCTTTAGAGAGAAAAGAACAGTAATTTTTTCGAGTGGTTAACAAATTATTATTTACTTGTTTCCAACATAAAGGACAGTGGTGGATTTCAGATGGTATCTTTATTGAAATTAGCTGAAATTACTGAGGTAAGCCACTCCGGTCTTGCACCCCTTTTTACTTCTGTTTCTCCCTTACTCATTTTCGCACAAGTGTTGTCCTTGTCAAATTTAAATATTGTCATTGAAATTTCTTCCCAGCCAACGATTTTTCTTGGACTTACCATCTGAAGTTGGTCAGTACAAAATGCAGACTGCAGACTGTAGACCAGGTACAAAATGCAGACTAGGTAAAAAATGCAGACTGAGAATTTAAACTGTTTTTTCTGTCTGATACATGATGAAATGGCATCTCACAACTTACCAAGTGTCACAGAATTGTTTTTCAAGGAACGACTTTCACAATCATTTGCACTATTACAAGTCGAATTTTGTAACATGGTACATACACTGATTTTTACATATTAATAAATTTGTGTAGTCACCAAACAGATGAGAGATAAACAAATGGCCCATCAATCAGTGTGTGTACACCCCTGAATTTTGAAAATAAACCAAGTTGAAGAAACAGTTTTGATCTTGGTCTGCATTTTTGTCATCAAGATGAACACATATTGGTCAAAAAGATGACAAGTATGGAACGCGTGCAAAACTTTCAATTGTTTCTCAAAAGTTGCGCCTGTTAATTATTCAATTCTGACATCTTGCATGTGAAGTGAAAAGACTATATGAAGACTTGAAATTCTATTAAAAACAATTGTGGCTGCTTAATGAAAAACTGTAAACAACAGCCACTTTGTTATAAAACAAAATATACAAGGAAAAAGGCAAGGAATATTCCATAATAGTGCAAATGATTGTGAAAGGTGATCGCAGAAAAGGGATTGTGCGACACTTGGTAAGTTGTAAGATGACATATTATTACATATCAGACAAAAAAACAGTTTAAATTCTCAGTGTGTACTTTGCAACCAGTCTGCATTTTGTATGCAGTCTTCATTTTGTACTGACTGCATCTGAAGTAGAAGAAGGAACAAATTGAGCTGATTGAAATACCTAAAATAAAGAGAAAAATTTGAACCCCCCATAAACAGAGATGGATTTTACCCGTAAAGATTTATATGTGCGCACAGAGATTCCTTTTATTTCTTTTTCAAAGGAAGGTGTTAAGTTCCAGTCTCCCCATGATGGTAAAGAAATGCTACTTACCCCTGAGAAGTCAACTGAGATCCAGAATTCCATAGGAGCTGATATCATAATGCAGCTGGATGATGTGGTCAGCAGTACTACAACAGGTAACCTGAATCAGTATGGCAACCTTGGCAATCTGCTTACAATCTCTTTCAAAGATTTGTCATTTTCAGCCTGACTGTTCAATGGCAAATGTAGCAGATACTTAATATGCTCATAACTGAGCTATCTTTAATGAAAATGTATCTGAGAGTATGAAAAAGAATGAAATGGAAGTGGAGTTGATGCACAGTGGTAAATGTTATCCTGCAACCAGTGCCAACTAGAGGATAAGACCTTTTGAATCATAATTACGAATATTTTTGTGAAGCCCCTGTAGATGATTCCAGTAACAATAGCATCAATAAGAGATGTTGTTTGTACCAGGAAGGTAAATAGATTGGCCTGCTAGTTGGTATGGTAGGGTTATTACTCGTTAGGTCAACTTTTTACAAACATCTTTTCTTTACTCAAATCTTCAAAAAGGAGAGAAATGAGAGAAAACTTATAGGATCCTATATTTCAACCATGAACTAAATTCTGTTCATTTTACCATTGAATCATTAAGACAGATCAAATAAATACAGATTGAACAATATTTATCCTGATGCCAAAATGAACTAGTGACCCCAGATTTTGACAAGAGTAGAACTTGGAAAGTCCCTTACCATCCCAAAAAGTAAATCTTATCCTATCTGATAGAAATGTTTCAGTCAATCCTTTGGCTAAAATCCAATCATTGCCTCTGTAGGTCCAAGAGTTGAAGAGGCCATGTTGCGCTCAATCCGATGGTTGGACAGATGTATATCAGCCCATGCTAAGCCAACACAGCAAAACCTTTTTGCAATAATACAGGGAGGATTAGATCCAGAACTTAGAAAGACTTGTATAAGAGGTACTTTGTTTTACAAGCATCATCCATCATCAGTTCATCTGATTTATCTATTAATCCTAACCATTACAATTTCCTCAAATGTTATTGGAGCATTAGCTGCTTTAATTTTCAATAATAAGTCCATTCAGTTGTAATCAGACTGTTGGCTGTAATCAGACACTGGTAATTGGACAGTTGGAGCTTCCAATCAAACTGAGTCCACTCAGCTAAATTTACCAATCACAGAATTTATCACAATAACCATTATGATAGCAACAACCCCTTTTCCTGAAGAACTACTAGGGAATTTCCAAAATGGAAGAATTTTTACTATAGACATTATCTCTACTGGAGATGTTTGATTCCTAAATGTATTTGTTTTTTTCAGAAATGGTAATGGTGATAATTAATTGGTAACAGGACTTTGTGTCTTCTAGTTCTGTCTGCAATCATTTTGATACTTGTGATTGACAAATTGGACTACCACTTGGTGGATGTCCGATTTTGTTAATTGCTCATATGATTACAGACCAAATTTGAGGAAACAAAGTCCCCTCACCGTTATTGATTGTATCTGAAGTTTATCTGATTATTTGCAACTTAATTTTGGATGAAAAAGAAAGTCTGCCCTTGAGCCTAACTGTCAACATGTTGTCCAAGTTTATCCCGGCTCCCACAGCATAACAGGGCAGTGCAGGGGTAGTGCCACCTCTTCTGCCTGAGATGCTGCCCCATTGTACATGCAGGTCATAACTTTACCCTTCTATTTTGTCTGGTTCCTCAATATTTCATTGTTACCCATTTGTACTCCAGGGTAGGGCACTGTGGGTTTATAGTGTCTTGTCTAAGAACACACCAAAATTACTTGGATAGAGCTTGGATCTTGACCTTTCAGCCCTGAGTCCAAGCAGTTTGGTTAGCCAATCACTGGGCTAATGCAAGTAGCTAAATCATGTAGGAAGTACAGTAACCCATAAGATTGATAAAATTTTGAAATGTTTTCAACAGTTGCTATATGATCAAATTTATTGAATATTCATTTCTTAGAGATGGTTAAACGTAACACACCTGGTATTGCCATTGGTGGCCTTAGTGGTGGAGAAGAGAAGTCTTTATTTTGGAAAACTGTTACACTGTGCACAGATCATCTACCAAAGAGCAAACCAAGATATCTTATGGGTGTAGGGTAAGGGTCATGTGCAAAGATTGCTTGGTGTTCATAAGAAAAAAATTACTGGAAAATCATTCTGGCAATGTATCAAGATTAATTTCCTAATTTTTTCATATTCTGTTTTATAATTATCTCTTTTATTTTCTCAAGCTATGCTGTGGATCTTGTAGTTTGCTGTGCTTTGGGAGTTGACATGTTTGACTGTGTCTATCCAACCAGAACAGCAGTAAGTAGAGTGAACATACTGTACAGTCAAGCATGACTCAACAGAGTGGAGTATTTAATGTTATCGTTAATTTATTCTAATCTAAATAACCTATGTTTTATTTTCTGTAAGAGTCTTTTAGGTATCTTCTTGAATTTTTTCCATAATAATGATAAGGATATTCTCAATGGAGAAAGATCAGTAAACATTTGCTGAGAATATAGGTATCAGATTTCATATAAGTTTTGTCCAGTCATTTTGACCTGAAGTGCATTACTTCTAAGCTCTGACAAAAAAAAATTAGATCAATCAGGATAAATAAGATTAAAATAGTGTTGTAATGGGATCCAGTTTTAAAACATATTTGCTCATTAACCCTGAATCCAGCATCATATGAAGAATGTGCATGCACAGTTGTGCTGTTATTTGATCATGCTAAGCCGGTCTCCACCCCTGAGTTGATACTAAGTTTCCTCCTCTCTCTTACCCAGTAATAAAAAATAAATAAATCTTAGGGAGTGTTAAGTGTAATTGTTCAGGGTTTCTTACTCTCAAAGCCAAATTTGGATTTTTTTGTTTTATACGTCTTGCTCCTACAGTACTTGCCTATAATTTCCCTAAAGGATCTTCAGGATTTTGAGGATCCTATCAAGGATTGTAATAGAGATATTTATTATGATCTTCAATACTCATGCCAAAATCTTCAAGGGTCTTTCAACCAGAATTTTGAAGATCATTGTACTGATAATCCACTCGTAAAGCTACTGACTGATTCTTTTTCTTACAAATCCAGAGATTTGGCACAGCCCTGGTACCTTGGGGTCAACTTCACTTAAAGAATAAACAATATTCAACAGACTTTGAACCTATTGACAGAGACTGCAGATGCTTGGCTTGTAAACATCACACCAGGGCTTACATCAACTCTTTGCTAGGCAGAGAAGAGGTTGCTTGTCATTTGTTGACAATTCATAACATTTATTATCAGGTATGCTGAACGATGACAAATAGTGTTATCCTGTAAACAGGCCCTCATTATTGAGGTCTGCAAAGGATCTGGAACTGATATTGGTACCAGACCCCAGCAAACTCCTCCCGACTAGTCTCAAATCTTCCAGCAGGGGGAAAAACATATATCCTGTCACGCTAACAATGAGGGTTACAAGTGTGTGGGAGAGATTAAAAGGAAACAGAACAATGAATTCAAGGTGTTAGAGTGTGATTCAGGTTTGATTCCTGAACCTTTAATTATAAATTGGGTTGATTTTTCTCCTACTCTGAGGGTTCCCTACATGAAATTTTGCTCCCTTTCCAAAAGCCAATGTGATATATGGAGAAATTCCATCAGCTATTCTTCAGAGTAGGAATAAGAAACGTGCTGGTACAATTTTTAAATTTTAAAAATTTCATTCAGTAAAAATATTCAAGTTTATTTGCTTTGACTTAATTATTTTGGTTTCTATTTTTTTCCATTTTGTTTCAGATGAAGTTGATGCATGATATAAGAGAAAGTATCAAGGAGGACAAATTTCCTGAATTTGTGCACAAATTTATGAAAAGGATGTTTCCAGATGAAATTTTTCCTGTCTGGGCCAAAGAAGCTCTTGCTTCTGTCAATATCTTCTTGAAAACTCAGGAAATCATCAAAAGTAAAGAAGATAAAGTGTGGAATCAAAATGTCTCTGCCTCTTCTGGTGAATGAGATTCGTCAACATTAAATCTTTAAAAATAAAAATTTGCCGATAGACATTGTCAAGTGTGAGTGATGTTTGACAAAGTGAACAACATAAAATACTTTCATGAACTTTGCTCAACATATTAGCAGTAAAAATTACAAAACTAGCTGCAATGGCCACTCAAAAATATCAAGCATCCCATCCTGGGAAACATAGGCTGCTTCATAGTAGCTGCTGTTTGAGAAAAAAGGCTGTACACCTTCTGTAAAGGTAGAAGGAGACTTGTACTAAACTTAAGAGAGTGGTATCAACTATAGTTAGGAATTCAAGTGTATGTAGTTGTAGAACTCTTTAAGGGGCCACAAGTGCTGAAGAATGAACCTTGATAGGAGAGTAAATTTCTGCTGCCTGTCTGTTTCTGTTCACCTGTTGTATGATGCAATTTTATCTTTCCCTCAGTCTTTTAAACAAAGCTGTGATTCACAAGCAGCAAGGCACTGTCATAGGAAACATCATACAGAGATACCTTACTGATACCTCCATGAGTCTCTTGCTCGTTTCTTAAATTTCTCATAAAAGAAATCGTCAGTGGCTTTTTCAACTTTGTCACCAGTTCTCTTCTTGTTTGAAGCAGCAGCTACAGGAACGTCAGTTTCATGTGCTTTGCTGCTTGGTGCTGATGAAGTGTCATCTGCCTTTACTGTTGGTTTTCTAATTACTTTCTCTTGTTCTTGTGCCTTGTCTCTTGCTGCAGCAGCTCTCTTGCTTTCTGCATCAATATTCTTTTGCTCATCAAAAACTGAAAACACATTCACATTCACATCAGTTCTTAATATCAAGTGATTTTAGTGTGTTTGGCACAAAAGTCATACAGCCACTTGTGACCCATACAAATGGTTGTGATTCAATTTAAGCCTTGTAACACTGTTAACTACTTGGCTCTGGTTGCAGGCCCCCATTCAAATCAGCTTGAAGCTGAACTGGGCCAACCTGGTTGAATATTGCCAATAAATAAAATAACAATTGGAAAGTGTTCAATTTTTTTCTCAAGCAAAATGAAGCAAAATAGTTTCTTCACCAGACTAGCATTTTCATAATGCCCTCCACTTTTCACGCTACTAAATTTTGATGTTTTTCCCAATATTATTGTCCAGACTGAAAAAAATGTACAGGGAAGCCACAGTACATTACTTCAAATTTCACTGATCATTTAAGAGAGTCTATATTTTCCCTGTATTTTTAAAACAGTTACAATTTCAAAGCACTCCACTCATCAAAGTGTTTTCAGTAAGACTGCACTCATAACATTTTCAGCTGCTTCAGTGAGGATGATTGATAAAAACAAATTGGGAAGTTCATGTTTTTGAACAAAAAAAGGCATTAGTGTTGATGGGGCCTCAGTTTGATAAACATAATTATCAACCCTCATGATAGCTTTGCTTCAAAGTTGAGCTAGTAATTAAACTTCACCTTTTCAAACTCATTGCACCATTTAATTTACCTTCCTTGACTTTATATAGTTAATTTCTCCATGTTTGTTCTTATTCATCCTGTCAACATGCAAAAATTATAAATTGAAACATAGCTTACATCTACTATGCAGCATGAAGTTCACCGCCATGTTGGTTGGAACCATCTCTGTTGGTTCTTTTGATTTCTTGTACCTTTGTTCCTCGATCACAGCTTGTTTAGCTGCTTCTGTAGCCTCAATGTTCCTTATTTTTGCGTCAATGCCAAGATCCACCTCAGGAATACCAGATAACATCTGATTCGAGAGCATTTCTTCTGATGCCATTATCTTTGACCTGACATTGATATGTTCTGGAACCTGATACAGCAAATCTTCCTTTGATTTTGGCCTAAAAAAGTTTACATAATCAGCAGTAATAAAAACCAGTAAATAAATAAATAACACTCTTTCTGTGTTTATATGGGAATCCCTAAGGGGGCTGAAGCTGCTGGCACAATGACAGACTCCATTCCAATCTGACTGGGATCAAAAATGATCACAGGTCTTATCATAATATGGGATCCCAAACCTTGGCCTAGCAGCCTTTGTAAATAGCTTTGACATTCTTCACTCAAGCATCTGCCACACTACTTCTCCTACAGCCTACAACTTTTAAAACAAGTAAACTCAGTCTGGGAAAGATTCCAGCCACTGGAATTAAAAAAATCTGGAGATGTTTTGACTTTGAATCACCATTCCACTTAAAACAACCAAATCACTGAAACTTCGGCCCCAAAAAAGACATTACAACAATAATAACAACCATCCTTGCACCAAAAATCTCAGTTGGTCAGTAAAGAAATTTACCTGATACCCCATTTTTTTAAGGAAAAATTATGATCCTGGTTTACCTTTTTTCAGTAAATTCAGTAAATCACAGAGGTCAGCAAAGAAAAATTGGGTTCAGATACATTTAAAAAGTGGTATGGACTGCATGATTTCAGCTGTTTAAAACAGAAATATTCTATGACATTTTGTGAATAAAAATGACCTGAGAACTTCCACTTCACCAAAAAATGGGGGTCCAGACCATGTTTTAGTTGCAAACCACCCAAGCTAGTACTGAGTTGTGTACTTTTACCAAGCATATGTATTTCACAGTATGATGCTGAGTTAACCTTTCTGATAATAAATCTGTCCCAACAAAAAATTGACTAGATCTACCTTGAAATTAAAAGAACCTTGTAGAGAGACAAGCTTACAACAAAAGCTATGTCTGAAAAGAAAATTAAAGTGAATGGTTCTCTTCTAAAATTCTACCTTCCTCACTGTACTGTTGAAAGAAAAGTTTGGCAATGAGAAAATGAGTCCTTGGTTTGAGGTCGCAGTTGAAACATGCTACGACACTCTCTTGAAAAAGCTGAAATAGGAAAGAGGAAAGTGCTACAGACCTAAATTTTTCAACATTTTGAGACCAGAGACACATATAGCCCTAAAACTTGAAAAAACACTGGTCCACTTAGTTTACACTGGCAAAAATCTGAGCTCCATTCTCCTTTGTAGGCAGGTTTGCACCACTGATTTTTCCTTCTTATGAACTACCTTTGAATCTCACCAATATGACTCAGGAACTGTCGGCAATTTTGATTGACAGTTTTGATTAGGTAGGGGCACAGAGAAGGGTATCAGTTGTAATAGACTGACTCAGTCATTGCAATACCCCAAGATAAACTTACTATTCACACGTGCAAAGACACATTTCAAAATAAAAATTAGCTACCCACTTGTTTTGAACAGTTTTATCCAGTGCAACACCTTTCCTCTTCGCCATCTCTTCTTCAATGTATTTTAACATATGAGTATCTTCATCTCTTCGGTTTGTTTCAGCGGCAAAATTTGCTCCTAAGTTAATCGATTTCTCTTTGTCTTCCCCTTCTCTGTCACGATTTCTATCCTGGATCAAATCGTTCACCTGAACAAGCCCGCCTGTTTTCAGTTTAAAAGGATCACTCTCTACTTCTTCTTCTGGTGCAAGAGTTTTTCCAAGAGCAAGGGCCACAGCCGAAACTCCAGCTTGTCGCTTCCGAAATCGTTGTAGTTCTTTCCTTTCCTCTAACGCCTCGCTCGTTAAAGATGTTTCTTGCTGATCATCGTCACTTTCTTCCGCTTCGCGGCGCTTTCGATAGTTTCTCTGAGGCATTTTACCCGTCGAATTTTTTACAGATAACGGAGAAGTACTGTCATTAAAAAAAGGATAAGACATGACATCTTTTTGTAAGAGATAAAACTTCGAGAAGCTGGGTTTGACTTTATGCAGAGCCGCTGCTCATTGTTACCATGTATTCACAAAATTCAAGATGGCGGACGAACCGTTAAACAAGGAGGTAAACAGTGCCGATAAAGATCCGCTGTCATTCTTTACTGCCGGAGATTCCAGCTCGACCTCAGACTCTGAAAACGAAAGCGATGTTAGGGATGACGATCAAGACAAATTGAAATCCAAGAGCCCAGCAGGTAATGCATCAGCACTCAAGACAAAGCTTCCTTCACCGACGACTTTGTTCGCAACAGTTGGGAGACCAGCTTTCCTTGAAACTAAAGAGGAGAGCTACGTCGATTGGAACTCGCTGTCAAAACGATACGAACCAAACACCTATTCAGCTCCTCCCGTACAATTTCCTCCTGTGACGGAAAGCAGCAGAGATAGTGAAGAATACGAAGATGCTGTCATTTCTTCTGCTCCAGTCAAATACGGCAAGGAGATCTCTGACATACAAAAGCACTTAGTTGTTCACGAAAAAAGATCAGTCACTACCGCCTTAAACATCTTGAAAGAAAGAGGTAAGATACTACACCCAAGAATGGCTTGTCGTTAACGTTGCTATTTCTGGGACAAATTTTCTCTGCCTCTCTTGCAGAGAAGCTTTTCATTGTTTCGTATTCCTCAAGCTCTCAGAAACAAAAGCTTGTAAACGGCTCTATAGAGTGTGTACCCTTTCTAGAGGGTTGAGGTAAAACAAACAAACAAACAAACAAACAAATAAAAAAAAGCAAAAAAAGTCTCTCTTCTCATAGTCTTCTTCGCCGCCGTCACTTTGACTCTCTTTAGCGTCGTGTAGCTTGATGTATTCGAACTACGGTTACTAAGGAGACTACGCTTCTCGTAAAGGGAACAAATATTAGGTTTGGAATACGCTTATTATAAGCTGTTGTCGCTGAGTTTGTGTGCATGAACTTGAGAGGCGTTGTTCGAAATTGTTCTCGATCATATGGTTGTTCGTGAATTGTTTTTCTTTTAATCAAACCAGCTCAGGTAAAAGAGAGAGGCGGAAATATTCATTGCTTTGAAATTTGTTCTTTTAGGAGAAAGTGCTCCAAAGAAACAGAAAACGGAAAATTTTAAGCAAAAAGAGAAAAGAAAACGCGATCAAGGACAGACTTCTAGAGGAAAGAGTTATGTGGAGGAAGAAAAGAGAATATTACGCCAAGACTTTGCTGCAGATTAACCATTACTCACTATACGCGGTGGCCGTCAGACGCCTGCTAAATGACTCCATAACCTTTGTTTCAAGTTTCGGGAGAAAAGATATCCCAAATTGCACTTTTTCTACCGTGAAGGGTTACACTGTATACAAGCTTCGTGTGTGAAAAAAGCGATTTTAATTCGTGAATTGAGATATATTACGTTTTTGACCGAAATGTAGAGAACCCTTTTACATGTGAAACACAAGCAAGCTTTAAATTTTAGTTCATAGGATACTGCTAAAGGGGTTCAAAACACTAGCAATAATATCCTCTCTCTATGCACAATCATTTTGTAATTATAGACACCATAATCTTCTGCTGTAGACTCTGTGCACTTTTTTGAATTCGCTATGAATTATAATTTGGGAATTTCAAATGCTCACCTCAGCCTCTGGATTCGAAGCCAGAAGTCAATTAAACCTCACTAAACAGATCATTACTTCTCGTCAATAATTTTTTTTCCACATTTTCTGCACCTGACAGTCCACTATGGGCGGAAATTAAGTAAAATTGCGAACACAATTAAAATCCATTCGAAGGAAAAATAATTTACGGGAGGTACGGGAAAAGAAAAAGAAAGCAGAAAGAGGAAAACCGCCCAAAGGACGAAGATGCTTGAATGAGACATCATAACATGAATGACTTGCTCAACCTCGCGGTTACATCCGGTTGGGAAAGGCAATATCTCATGAATCTAAGACTTTTTGCACAAGTTCTTTCAGAATTGAATATTTTGAAAAAGTCCGGAGCTGACGGATGTTCTGGCGACTGCAGCACGCTTTTTGGGCTTTGTCCTGGGGGCGAGAGAGTGGTGGTGGTTGAGCAATGTGGGGGAAGGGGGTGGTGGTCATGAGTGACAAGCCTTCAATCCAACTTAATCAAATAAATCAACATATCAAATATAGGACCTCGATACTCCGGCTGAGTCCATCTCCCCTACCTATACCTCTCCCCTGCACACACAAAACCGCCACATAAGTCCCACCCCTCTTGTTTTCAACAGAACCTTATGGACACAAGGAAACAACTCGGTATTTCAAGCATCATCTCTTTTAAATGAAAGAAGATTGATAAATTTACATTGTGAAAAAGCGATGTTATCGAAAATAGAGGATAATATAATTATTTTCAAATTTCCTTACATAAACGTAGCAAAAACTGCTCTTTTTGAAGAAAAAATATTGTTTTTGCATATTGTTCAAAGGCGTATATGTAAATATACTTGTTTCAAATAGACACTCTCAAGAGACAACTCTCCAGAATCCAAATTAGCATATAAATACAAGCCACGTTGAGCAATAGGATTGCTTTCCTTACACAAGTAAAGTTACAAACTTCAACTTTCTTGTAAAGTCCAGCAATCGTTTACAAAAATATGCCATCCACAATATAATACCTTAAACAAAAGAAAAAGAATCGAAAAACAAAACACTTCAATGTCAACGACTCGCAATAAAGACATTTAAGTTTTCAATTCATCAACTTTTTAGTTTAAACTGATATTAAAAATGAATTCTAATGTAAACGCGTTATTCCAGCAAATCCTACGAAACTCAGTTTAAGTAGAATATGTCCGGCGAGCACGTTTCATTTTCTTTGCTTCGCTCGAGATTTCACCCCCACCCGGCTGACTGCTATGGCAAATATTTCCCAGGTAGGTCACCTCCACGTGTTTTCCTCTTTCTTTTCGGATCACAAATCGCACCTTCACGTTGCATTCTGGTCGCTTGCACTCCGCGCCTCCCCTGAAGAACACCGCTGAGTGGATTTTCCGAGAGTTTTCTGACCGCACGTGATTATTCTTGAAGCGCAAACTGCACCATGGGTTGCTTTCTTTGACTTTGCTGAGGAAGATTCGTGTCCAGTCGCCACTCAACAAACGGCCACCGCTAGGGAATGTGTTAATTGGAATTCTTGCCCAGTCCTCTTTGGTCAGCTTAAATCTGGCTGTTGTTCCATCGATGTTCTTTCGGAAATACTTTTCTCGTTTTCCGTTTTCGTCATCATCAGAGGAATCTGAGTCATCTGAGTAGTCCTAGTAAAAATCAAACGTGTACGTGATTAAACAGTACCGCAAGGGTCAGTTCAGTACCGAAGGGGTCACCCCGCGGGAAGTCATATTAAAATAAATAAATAAAAATTAAATGAAATAAAAAAACAATATTCTTTTAATTTAAAACATAATAATGGTGGTACTAGAAGCTTCTTCTTGGTTTCGACTTGGGCTTTTCCTACCTTAAGTATTTCACGTGAGATCAACGTGAAAATCGTGAAAATAAAATCATGTGGCTCACTTAGCGATCGTAAAATTAAGTACAGCAATAATTACAAAACAAGTTGCGTAAATGACAGTTTTGGAAACCTCTGATATTGTGATGGCTGTCACATGCTCTGGAATACAGCAGATGAGAGTCACAATTTGTAATGAAATCGAGCAAATAATAAATAAGTCATGCAAAGAAATGATCCTCGCAGGGGTATGACGATTTTAACAATTGCAGTAAAAAAAGAATGAAAGAAATCAAGCTTAACCGGGATTCGAACCCGTGCCTCCCAGATACTAAATGCGTTGCGCACTAGTACCAACTATGCTACGAAGCCACATGTTTGGACCGAGGCAAATTGAAAAAATATCTGAAAAGTTCTGGCTACAGGCACGCTATTTAGTACCGAGGATATCATGTGATTCATGTTGTGCACAAAGAAAAACAACATGTCAACAATATTGAAGATACGGATATTATATATAATATGCTTAATAACATTTCCATACAAAGTTTAATTTTCTGGCAATTTTTTTAAAAACATTCTAACTTGTAGAAAAACGAAAAAAATTAAAATAATACTTTTAAATTCTATGATAAACTTCATCAAGTACATGAGAAATGAACGGTTGTTCTCTCTTTTTTACTTATTTCAAGTTCCATCAGAGAGATGGAACAAACTCAAGAACTTCAAGCTTTTCGTGGACGCAACATATTAATTCAGCAGTTGGTAAACCGTGTTAACGTTAAAAAGTTGAGAACACTAGAACTAATAAAACATTACTGATTTCAGTCTAATACGATCCGAACTTTAAAAAATTATGTTCCTCAATTGTGCCACGAAAAAATACATCTTAGTATAATTCAAACTTCTGAGGTCCTCCCTTTTTGTTTGGATTCTTTATTTGCTTTCATAGTTTTTACAAAACAAGAAAAAAGTAGTGTAAAAAGGCGTTGATCATTCCATAAGGCATCATTTCGCAACCAAGTGTTGCGAAAGTGACAATTTGTTGCCACAGGAAATGAGAACAGAGCTCAATATGGACAACGGAAAATCAAAGTTAAAAGATGAATCCATTCTAAAGCGAGGTTCAATACTTATGTCCAGTTAGCAATTTAAATCCCTCGATCAGCAGAAGTAGTTAACACTTACCATAGGAACGTCCCGAGTCTGTGAATGCATCTTGTAATTTGCGTTGTCAACCTGCTGGTAGAAAAAAAGGAAAGTTTTTCGTAAAAAGCAATAGCAGAGTGTAACTTTGTTCTGAAACTTGGCATAAGCCTAAACTGACGGTTACAAGTAAGCATAGATGTTTTTAGACATAACAGCAAGGATAGCTGATATTGAACGAAGCACTGGCCATATCTATAACCAATTTCCAAGGGGTTTTTTAGCAGTCACATTACAATGAATAAAGTCACATCTATGTGTGCCTGTATATATATATATGTGTGTGTGTGTGTGTGTGCCTGTATATAAGCGAATAAAAAATATGTTGCCACGCAAATATAGCAATTGAACCAATGATCAGAAAGAGTTAAGTAGTCTGAGTTACCTTCAATGGCAAATGAGATATTCCAGAATTATTTCTGTTCCAGTTCACAGGAACCATAATAACTGACGGGCGCTGGCTTTTCAATTCAGGATAACGAGTAAAATCATTTTGTGCATGGCAGCAACAGTTGCAATTCTGGGTCTTCTTCTGGTTGTTTGACACCAAATCGCGGGACTCTGATGGCCAGAATGGAGTTCCTTGTTGCAGATCGAGCAGGCTGTAGTCACCATAGTACATTGGCATTCCATTGTAGTAGGTGATCTGATAATTTTCACTTTTCTTCCAGTCCCCATTTTGTGAGGTGGGCGTTTCCTCCATGTGGCAAAGTGGCACCGTAGCATTGGAACTCAGAGGAGTAGATGTGGGTCCCAAAGCATGGTTGGATGGGGCACTCTCAGAGGTACCATTCTGATAGGGAGGTATCATCCCCGGGGCAGTAAACAGGTAAGCTGCTTTGGTTCCATTGGAACTCAACTGGTAAGCCATGTACTGGCTTTTCACTGATAAGGCATCTGGCTGATGGGCCAATCGGTAAGATGGCGCCCTCTCTGGAGAACCTAACCGGAAGGCAATTTCTTTCTCCTGATGAGCCGTCTCAGGTGATGCTTCCCCGTTGAAAACAGGCGAGTTGTGGCCAGGAGATTGTTCTTCACTTTCCATCGGAGACATCTTGGGAGACATATTGGGGGACGTCTCCTCTCGAGAAGCCACTGAGTTGGGCAGTTTATCATTGTGATTGTGTACACCTTCAGCTAGTATTTGCTCTTCTTGGTTGCTATTATCAACTGCTGGAGAATGCAATTCTTTGCATTCGTTTGGTTTATCGTCGTGGTTTTCTATCTGATACACAGGCATTACATTCTTGTCAGCGATTTGATTAGATAGCGCGCCCTGAACATTGCTGATCTGAATGTTCAGCACATCCTCTCGACTGCCAGTGTTTACTTCTTCAATAGCAGGCACTTCATAGATTGACTCCTGTGGAAGTGAAATCGTTTGGTGGTTGACCGTGCTGCACGCTGACTCAGAAATTTCCACTTTCACGACTGGCATCTCGCAAGCGGAGATTATTTCTTTGCAGTGCGGATTTTCAGGGATTTCTATCTTCACGCAGCCATTCGTGATGTCTTTCAGGGAATACATTTTTATTTCTACCGTCACCCACTCGGTCACGTGCTATCCTTGCAAAAGATCTGAAGTCAGCGTTCAACTGAAAAAACTGTAATCAAGCAGACCAACGATTAATAAACGTCAATAGAAAGTGATAAACGGGAATTTCAGCAACTAAATGTTTCAACGCAATGTTGTCTGGCGTTTCTCGGTTATAATTATCAACGGCCTAGATGAAGCTACCCACCGGAAATTGTCAATAAAGATCCACTATTCATCAGCGAAAAGCATTTCGTAGCTGGTGGCTTTCAACGACAGACTGCAGAACAAATGTCACACCGGCCAGAACCTTTGTTTGAGCGGAATGTTTGAACGGAAAGGGGATCAAAGTCTTTGGGATTTAAATAGATGTGTTGCTTACTTGTCAAAAAAGCCTTAATTTTTGGATTGAGAAATATATATGTACCAAAGACATGTGATGCCTGATTGAGTAAGTGATATCCTCC